GGAAAGGTAAAGCAGAGCCTGCCCACCACTCACCCCCTGCCTGGCCACAACCAACACCTAAGGGGAGAAATGTCAGCCACAACTTGGCCACAACAAGCTCCATAGCATCTTAAAAACTGCTCCTTGGCCCTTCACTTCATGTTCCTACCCAAAAAGGGGAGAAATGCCAACTACGACTGGCAGCAGCCCATCAACACCGTCCTCAGAACGCAGGACGTTTCCCACAGGAAGATTGCCACCAGGGGGAAGCTGCTGCAACTGCCTGGGCATGCACACAGTCTGGCACAGCAAAGGCACGCACAGGGAATTGCTGTGCTGGATGGCCTTCACCAAAGATAAGTCTTCTGCAGAGCAAGGCACCACCATCACTCCCTTTTTCTTCTCCCTTGTCCCCTTCCAGGTGATGCTGATCAAGCCCCAGGCACCTGCTCCCACCTTTGGATTCTGACACTCACTCTACATGACTCTGGATATCGGAGCTGCTCCACACGCTTGGCATTTGGAAAGGGTGCTTGCTCTCTGGCTGCTCCCTCTTCAGAACCGTGCTTCCCTCTTTAAAACTTCTGCTTCCCTGAGACCTTCCATTCCGCTCTTCAGACAGTTAACTGGTTTTAGTTATCTGGCAACTGGTGTTCAATTTAGCTGTAGGTGCATGTTAGTTATTCTGTGTTTCAGATTTGTTGATTGCACAGGTTTGTTTACTTGAGGGTTATTTGTTAACTAAGAAAAATAAAAGTTATTCAGTAAATAATGGGTTAATGTAAACAAACCCTGAGCTTATCACCTCCTCCTCCTCTCTCTCCTCATATACACACCACACTCTCACAAAGGGCAGTGCATGAGTTTGTCACCCTGTTTTTCCCCACATCTTCTTTCAGCCCTTTTGAGCACAGTGCAGAGAACAAGTGCTTCCCCAATTGCATTTCATGGATGAAAAACTGAATAGGAGCCAGCAGTGTGCGCTCACAGCCCAGGGAGCCAACTGCACCTTGGGCTGCATCAAAAGAAGTGTGGGCAGCTGGCAAGGGAGGAGATGCTCCCCCTTCCTCTGCTCTTGCGAGACCCCACCTGCAGTACTGCATCCACCTCTGGTGTTTCCAGCACAAGAAACATGAGAGCCTGTTGGGGGAGGGCCTCAAGGATGATCAGGGGTTTGGATCTCCTGCCCCACAAGGACAGGCTGGGAGAAGTGAGTTTCTTCAGTGTGGAGAAGAGAAGGCTCCAGGGACACCTTGTAGCAGCCTTCCTTGTAATAGTACTTCAAGGCGGCCTACAGGAAAGAAGGGAAGGGTCTCTTTATCAGGAAGTGTAGTGATAGGATCAGGAGTAACAATTTTTAGGTGAGAGAGGTTACATTTTAATTAAGTAATTGAGGAAGAAATTTATTTATGTGATGCTGAGACCCTGGTAGAGGTTGCCCAGAAAAGCTGTGCATGTCCCCTCCCTGACAGTGTTCAAGGCCAGGCTGGATGGGACTCTGAGTAACGTGGTCTAGTGGAAAGTGACCCTGCCCATGGCAGGTGGGTTGGAACTAGTTGATCTCGTTAAGGTCCCTTCCAACCCAAACCATTCTACAATCCTACCTGTGACAATTTCTCTCTATATATGCAACAGGAAGCCTCAAAAGAGGCTTCCAAACATTTTTCATTTGTTTATGAGCACCACATGAGCTCAAACCCTGAGGAAATGAAAAATATCACAGGGTTTTCTCTTCATGTTTTGCATGCCATACCTAGTTTTTCAAAGTCTTCGCAATTGTGATGCCTTCCTGATGTCATTAGCTAACATCGTGTTCTGATCTGAGCTAAAAATCAATTCTGCTCAGTCTCTTCCAAGAGACAATACTTTCTGAAGCTAACAGCATAGTTTTGCTCATGGACTCTGCTCCTTGAAGTTCTAATGCTTGCTGTTTAGAATTACTGCCAGGGTTGAGTATGCAGAAAGGCTCTTGCTTATACTTACTCCTCTGATAAGCCAGGTCACTGCTAGATCTTGTGTGCCACATTAGGGGTGCCGGGATGTAAAAGGGATCACAAGGAACTTAAAGGTTGCACCTCCAAGGAGGAATGGATGGAATAGAATATGACCATCAGGAATGTTCCCTTCCACATATGTCTGTAGCAGTTTGGCCCCAAGTGGTGGCCAGTTGCCTACAACAGTCAGTCTATCACTCCCCCTTCTCAGCTAGACAGGGAAGAGAAAATATAACGAGGGACTCATGGGTTGAGATAAGGATGGGGAGATCATTCACAGCTACCATCCAAGGCAAAACAGACTTGACTTGGGGAAATACACTGTTGTGGGTGTTTGTTAGCGACCACCTTATCAGGATGAAGAGTCTGATGAGGCCTTCTACAGGCAGCTAGAAGGAGACTCACAGTCATAGGCTTTGGTCCTTATGGGGGATTTCAATCACCCTGATATTTACAGGAAAGGCAACACATCTAGACTTGCTCAGTCCAGAAGGTTACTGCAGAGCATTGAGGATGACTTCCTGATACAAGAGGTGGAAGAACCTATGAGGAGCAGTGCTCTGCTGGACCTTGTCATTACAAGCAAATAAAGACTTGTTGGGGATGTGAAGGCTGGGAACAACCTTGGCTGTAGTAACCATGAGATGGTGGTGTTCAGTATCTGGTGTAGAAGAATTAAAGAAAAAGCAGAATCACAATCCTGGACTTCAGACGAGCTAAGTTTAGTCTGTTCAAAGATCTACTTGGTGGAATACCACGGGTCAGGGCTCCAGAAGGTATAGGTGTCCGTGAGATGTGGTTAATATTCAATCAATACATCCTCCAAGGTCAAGATCAGTGCACCCCTATGAGTAAGAAATCAAGCAGAGGAGGCAGAAGAGCTGCATGGATGATGAAGGATCTTCTGAAAAAAATCAAATGGAAGAAGGAAATTTACAGAATGTGGAAAACAAGACTGACCACTTTGAGGGGAATATAGGATTGTTGTCAGAGAATGCAGGGATGCAATGAGGTAAGCTAAGACCCACCTGGAATTTAATCTGGCAAGGGGCATCAAATACAACAGGAAGTGAGCTTTTTTCAATATATCAATAGGAAAAGAAAGACTAGGGAAAACATGGGCCCACAGATGAATGAAGTGGTTGCCCTAGTGGCAGAAGACGTAGACAAGGTGGAGTTATTGTATGCTGCCTGTGTTTCGGTCTTCACATCTAAAGCCAGCTCTCATGAATCCTGGACCCTGGAGACAAGAGAAAAGATCTGGAGAGAGGAAGACTTTCTCTAAGTAAAGGAGAACCAGGTTAGAGACCACTTAGCCAAACTGAACGTCCATAAATCCATATGCCCTGATGGCATGCATCCACAAGTGCTGAGAGTTCTCCATCATCTTTGAAAGATCATCGAGAACAGAAGAGATGCCTGAGGACTGGAGCAAGGCCAGTGGCACTCCAGTCTTCAAAAAGGGCAAAAGGGATGACCCAGAGAACTACAGACCAGTTAGTCTCACCTCTGTCCATGGAAAGGTGATGGAACAAATTGTCCTGGATTTCATATCAAAACATGTGGAAGAAAAAAATTTATTGGGAGAGGTCAACATGGATTCACTAAGGGGAAATCATACTTGACTAATCTGATAGCCTTCTATAATGCCATAACTGGCTGGTTAGATGATGGGAAAGCAGTAGATGTCATCTACCTTGACTTCAAAAGGTAGATGTCATCTACCTTTGACACTGTCTCCTGTAACATGCTAGGAACTAGGAAACTCAGGAAGTGTGGTTAGATGTGGCTGAGAAAGATGAGATTGTTCAGCCTGGAGAAGTTTATGGCAAGACCTTTGTGGCCTTTGGAAACTTGAAAGAGGCTTCTAAGAAAGACACTACTAGGACCAGCAGCAATAGGAAAAAGGATGATGATTTAAAACTAAAACAGGATAGATTCAAACTAGATATAAGGAAGAAATTTTTTATGTGAAGGGTGGTGAAACAGTGGAACAGGTTGCCCAGAGAGGTGGTAGAAGCTCCATCCCTGGAAACATTTAAGGTTGGGTTGGAAGGAACTCAGCAACCTGATCTAGCTGAAGATGCCTCTGCTCATTGCAGAAGGGTTGTACTAAAATTAATTCAGAAATTGCAGTTGATAGCGTGGAAAAACCTTACAGAATTAGTCTTGTATTATTGCACCATTAATTTTCAGGTGTTCTCTGAAGGCACTGAACAGGATTCTTATTGTGTCCTCTTTAGCCACCCCTGGAGTGTGATCCATCCCACTCTACTCTAGTGCTGGGCCTCAGCTATCTAAAAGCAGGCATAGATATTGGGGTCTGTGTCTGGTCTTTTACCTTTTATGGTCAATGGAGAGAAACAGGCAATTCTAGGTCATGATTCATCTTGTCCAAATATAGCAAACAGGAATAATTAGGTGAATCACACTCTGAAACTGCTTATTTCTCTCAGTTATAATGGGCATTTATACAGGGAGGACAAGGTGAATAGCTTAGATGCATATACGTACCCTGTCAATGTCTCCAGGGAGGTGAGATGAACCTCCTACAGGTCTAAGACAGGTGTGATGAATTGCCCTCTTGAGGGTCTTACACCTCTTTATTGCTTAGGAAACAAGTCAAAGGGAAGCACCTAGTTTAGGCTAGACGCTTAACTTCTAAGTTACTAAAATTAAATTAAATTACTCCAACCCCGAATCTGTATATGCCACTAGTTTCTTCCGGAACAGCTGGCCATTCTCCAAAATAGGTATCAAGGAAGCAAATGCACAAACTTTCTGAGAAATTTGACATTAAGTATTTTAGTATTTTATTTAACGCTTTTTATTTTAAAAGTTTTCTCTTTTGATGATCGATTTGTAACTCCAAAACACAGAACAGATTTATTCTCACTTGGCATTGCCAAGATTAACCTGAGTATTTCGATGACAGAGAGGTTGTGCCTGACTGGTCAAGAGCAGGTTTGGACCCTTTCCCCAAAACTCTTCTACTTCAAGTTCTTGTTCATCCGAAACTTGAGGATCGAGAGGATTGCCTGCTGAAAGTTGTCTCCTGACACTACATAGAGCAGCAAATTTCCAAAAGTATTTAATGCTGCTAAAGGTTTAACTATAATCAACATTAAATTGACCATGTTCTTGAAGCAGCAGCTAACCATCGGTCGTCCTCGGAGCTCCAGCCGAATCCCTCGAAAGACGTGGAAGGGGAGGAAGCACACATAAAAGACCACCAGGAGGACCACAGCGAGTCTGCGAGCCTTTTGTTTGTAGCAGGCCTGTGTGTGAGGCCCAGTAGCCAAGGAGTAAATAATGAGCATATAGCACAGAGTCACTGTCAGCAAAGGCAAGAAGAAGACGAATGTTGTCAGCACCCAGTTATACAATCGACTAGTGCCAAGGTCCTCAGCAGAAGACAAGTCTGGGCAGATCGTCCTGTTCTGCATATGCCTCGTGGCAATTAAGATGCCCAGGGGACTGATGACCACCAGAGAGAGCATCCAAACGACTACACAAGTCACCACAGCCCATCTCCGGTTTTGAACAAAAAGGCATTTAAGTGGGTGGACAATTACTAAAAAGCGGAACATGCTGAAACAGCTAAGGAAGATAATACCGCTGTACATGTTGAAGTAGAAACAAAAGTAAATAAACTTGCACATGAAATCTCCAAAAATCCAGTTATTTCCGTTAACAGAGTAGTGTATAAAGAAAGGAAGTGTTGATACATATAACAGGTCAGTGACAGCCAGGTTTAACATAATGATGGTGCTGCTTTTCCAGGGCCTCATCTTGACAAAGTAAACAAAAATTGCCACGATGTTTCCTGGGAAGCACACCAGGAAGATTAGGCCATAAAGGACGGAGAGATACAATTTCACCTGTAAGAAACCTTCATCCTTGCAGATTGTCAGTGGGTCTGCTTGGCCTGGCAGGGCAGTAAAATTGCCGGTGCATTCAGATGCCATGTTTGCAGAAATCTTCTTAAAGCTTTTAAAAAAATCAGATATTTAGTTTTAATTAATTTGGGGGGACAAAAGCATTCAGTGAAATCTTTTTGTCACTGGAGCAAATGTTGCATGTTTGATGAGGCATTGAGGAACAGGGATTTGCTAACATACCCAGATCTGACCTAGATAACCCCACTCAAATATTTAATTTCACTGTTGCCTCTCCTTTATGTTTAATTTTGATAATTAATTTTACTCTTGCTTTATTTAACCTCCTGCTTTGAAGAAGATAATTACTGCTTATCTGCAAACCTTCAGGAGTAGGAAGCACACATTTAGTGAGCTACATAGAGTTTGGGTTTAGATTTTGCAAAATTGTGAATTAGTCCTAGCCTTTCAGAAAGCAGAACCATACCTTATGTTCTTTAATCTGAGTTAATCAGTATTTTCTGCTCACAAAAGCAGAGATGCTGTTCTGTTTTCATGAAAATCAGAAGATGTTATCTGTTCAGATACAGATCTCAGGACCTGATGCTCCCATAACCTGACAATCACAGGTCATTGCCTGAATATGATCTTATTCTCTTGAAGTCATAAGAGTATAAAACTTATAAAAATACATTAAAAAAAATCAAGCTTCATAGTGGCATAAAACTTATTTAAATAATTGAAGACTGTTTCTCAAAGTGCAGAGGGAAGGTAGAAAGCACAGATATTGAGTAAAGGCCCTAATTTTACTTCCCATTTTTTGTGAATTGGAGTTAGATAGACTTGTCTCTGAAATGGTTTCTCATCTGCCATAGCCATTTTAGATCTCTCCACAGTGAGTTCAAGATACAACCTTTCTTAGTAGCATTTTAACCTGAAAGAATGATAAGTAAGGATTAAAATAATCTCATCTAAGTGGATATCAGAAAGTTAGATGCTTAAAGTGGAGTCAGTTCTCCTAAGCTCCTCTTTATCAAGGGAGAAATGTAGGTTCCTCCAGGACATATCTACCTTTAAATGAGGATTCTAAGATAAATGATTTACTCTTTTGGCATACCTATTTCTTCTCACTGTTGAAGGCAGCCCAAGGTGCTTGTTCAGACCTGGATGTCTAACCTTCAGATGTTTCAAGTGAGGCAAGAAATATGCCGTTGTGTGTCCTTAGCATCTCATGTGCACACTACTCCTCCAGATCCTAACCTAGTCAATCTGAGAAAATATTTTTATGGAATTTCATAGAGTGCTAGACAGGGTACTATCAAGCCTGTATCCCTCTCTCTTGCTCCAGAACACAGTCTTTAAACTAAATCAGTGTTACATTGAACATCCAGGATAAACTCAACACATTAAAAAAAAAAAAAAAAGATAGAATTTTACTTTATCAAAATCTTGAAAATCCTAGGTATAGAATTATTGTTTGAAATTATTCAAGTAACAGCATTTAGCATGCTACCTGGATAGATGTTTCTGCATTATCTCAACAACTGGCAGAACATGACAAATTTTCTCTGATAAAGCTAGTCATTAAGGCTGTAACACAACAGGAATTATGTGATCATAACTAGTCATAATAGTGGGTACTATTTTGCTGTTCAGGAGAATGAAATTTGAACAGTGTCCCCATAATTTTGTTAAAACCCTAATACTTTCCAATATGAATGTTAGCTCTGGTATAGCAGCTTTGCAAAGGTGCATAAGGTAAAGTCTATGAAGCTTGTTTTAAACAAATCCAGATTTATGTTCAGACAAAAGCAATATACATGTTTTCTTTCTTTCGTACTGCTCAGTGATACCATTCCCACCCATATTTACGCCTCTCACTGGTACATTTCAAGTGAAGTTATAAAAAATTTTCTAGAATATTTGATTCATCCTCTGTTTAGTTTCCCTGCACTGCTGATCAGTTTTTCACTGCAATCTTCAACCCTCAAATCAAAAATGGAGAAATATTGCTTACCTGAAAACTTGAGATTCTGCTTCTCTCTTTAATATTGTTTTGAGAAAAAAGCACTACAAATGAAATGTATTTATGTCTTAATTACAGTGAAGCACATTTTAGTATGGCTTTGCAACCAATATACATTCACTCCCTGGCAGGCTGAGACTCCCTTTGCCTGTAAATTAGGAGACAGGTAGAAAACCTCTGTTACTGGCTGAGGTATCAGCTCTTAGACCTGGGGTGCTGGATGAGATCTCTTTTGCCCTCTATATTTCATGCTGTTTTGCCCTCAGTGGGCAAATGACGCTTTGCTGGCAGCAGTTCTGCTTGCTGAGGTAGACTTGTAGCATTCAAATAGCAGCAGATCCCATTTAAATTAGTGTGTATGCGTGCGCGCATGTGTTTATAAAAGAGAAAATTAAATTTATCCTCCATTTCTGGTGAAACTTGTTCACCAAAGTGAATAAGGTGTGTTGCCATTTCAAGGTTAGGTGAAAAATGTTACGACATACTGTTTTCATTAAAAAAAAATCTGACAAAGTACCGTTTTCATCTCACGTAAGAAATGAAGGTCTCTTTTGGCATGATGTGCTGTCGCATACTTTATGCTTATTTTTGGTGAATAATACCTAGAGTTAGTGTTGGCTGGTTATTACTAGGGTAGACGAAGTTGTAAACTTATTTTCTTTTTGTTTGCTTTCAGTCTTCATGATTCACAAGTGGTGGAGTTTTCCATGCTTCTTGAACTAAAAGATTGCTCTTGTATAAAAATCTTGTTATCATGCATACCTTGAGGAACAAGATCAAAAGAGATTATTATTTAAAAAGAAAAAAAATCTTAGTATCTTGAATTTTGAAACTGCAGACTTCAATCACTGAGTTTGCAACCTGGTCTACGCAAAGAGGCCCCAGCTGCCCATCATGGTCAGCAGCCTTTTGGCCTTGGGACGTTTTATAGGTCCTACTTGCTGATGAGACTTATGATCCAGCATTAAATGAGCAAGGTTTTGCTTCCGAACATTATGTATATTAGTGTAGTTACTGAGAAATGCACAGATAAGAATACTTTTCAGAAGACCATCTTGACCCTCCTTGACTGCCTATACCATAGGCAGGAGCTGGGAGAAGGCTATCTGTTTTGCTGATCATTCTGCAAGGAAAGAACAATGACAGGGACAATCAGGACTGGGGCAGCAGTAGTGTCTGATGACACTATCTATCTGCTACCAATAGGAAATAGGGGAAAGGCACCATCTCTGTTCTCATCTGACCAAGCTTTTCTCTAGGTCAATGACCAGAGCACTTTTTAGAAATGTCAAAAGTTTCTAAATAATTGTAAAAAACATTGCTGTGTACCAGCTCAAAGATCAGCAACTGTTTAAATAGCTATTACCCTGTTCCTAAACACTGCATGTGTCATTAGAAACCATTTGTATGAGGCTGTAGTGTTATAAGCACAGGGGGAGCTAATTATAGTTAGGAACATTTAATGTATCCACTACTTAATCCATTATACCCCGAGCAATAGAAAACCTGTGCAGCAGTTGCTGGTATTTATCCTTTCTTGGTGGTGGTAGTGCTTATGCCAAGGAGAAATGGGCTTTCCTTGCACCGTGACTCAGAATTTCCCAGGATTTGGGGCACTGAGGTCTTGAGTGGGCTATGGGGTCACTTCTGAGTATCTGATTCTGGGCATAAAAAGAAAATAAAACACCCAGTTTCAGACCAATTTCAAAAGCTACTCTTCATGGAGATCAACTATGCTCCTTAGCTTTCCTAAATCTTGTCTCATCCGCAGCTGTAGAGACCATGTGTGTCCCTGCACACTTCACCAGGGTTTCAGCAGCTCCTCATTGCACATGGACCTTTGGAAATACTGGTTTTGACTCCAATCATGCGACTGGCCCAGGGACTCCTGTCAGGCACTTGAGAAATTATGGATAATCTAACAAGGGCAACTTGCAAATATCCAGTTTAAATCACTTGCCCAGCATTATGCAGGATCTCTACAATAAAAGGCTTATCCTGCATTGTGACTTTCAGCTCTTTAGGCTGTGGGCCTTTTCTCTTTACCAGTAGTTGGTCCACCTCATGTCCATGGACCCTTTAAATCTGCTCATACGTAGGCCATTCTGATCCTTACAAAAAAAAGTGAGACTTTTTGTACCCCACTGCCCTCCACAAGCATTGAAGGGAAATCAAAACACCCTGTAGTTTCACAGTTGGCTTAAGTGACTCTAATTGCAGGCTGCTGTCAAAAGAATTGGCAGCACCACCTCCCTCCACTCATCCTAAACCACATGGCTTTTAACAGCCCCAGTGCTTGTGCCGCTGTGGGATGCATTGGATAAGTGAGCTGACAGAAAACAAACCAATTTTCTTATTCTTGGGTTAGCCCAAGAGGGGCTATGGTTCCTTTCATGGGTGCACTGGCTCCAAGGCTCAAGGGGAGCAGTGATGGGGACTGGCCAGGGCCAAGAGGAGGACAGCTCATGCTGGCAGCGAGGATGCACATGGGTTTCTGCTGTGGAACGATGTTTCTCTCAGCATTACTGGCAACTAGCCACCCTCAGCCGAAGCCAGTCTTCATCAGTGCCCCCTGCAGAGACATCACCTCTTGTTTTCAGAGTCTTCTAGGCAGGCTGGATTGATTTGTTGGGTGGGCTGTCATTTTCCCTGATGTGATGAATATTGATAAGAATTACAAAGACTATTAGCTAGCTATTTGCACCCTTCCTGAAGCAACCATTATAAAATCCTATGGAGTTCATGTCTGTTTATAAATGTTGCTCTCAGCCACTGTATAGGAAGGAAACTGGAATGATTTGGTGGCAAGATTATTAATTAAATATTTCCTCTTAAAACTTCATACCAAAAGCTGGGTCAGTTTTCACAGACAGCATGACACAAATCAGATCATTTTATATTGTATTTTTCCTTTGTGATGTCAGGGTGAAGAGTATGCACAAGGATGACAGTAAGGTTGCACACCTGGAGCACACAATCTGAAGACGTGGAGAATAAGGTCCAATGCTTTTGTTTTGCTTTGTTCTATTAAATCACATATGGCTGGCTGCAAACAATGTCCATT